TATCTCAGATCATGCTAGCATATAATCATGATATCACATACTGTCAGACGTATCTGGGGTGTCTGACTACCCTTCGGTCCTAGCAACCGAACTCTACTAGTATAACACATCAAGCTAGCATATAACATATCAGGTAGTAGAAAACTAGATGATATCACAAAGACTATCATCTAACACACAACTCCTACTGGTGGGTCGGCATTGTGGTCGTAGACCCACCACTACTGGAAGGTAACTCATCTCGAAGTAGTTGCTGATCTTTGCGGGAACTGTCTGTCTGCTGCTGTTGCTCTGGAAATCTTCCGACTATAATTCCCATGAAACACTCAATCAAACACTGCTAAATGTCCTTAGGGTAAAATAATTTTACCTCTCGCCAAGTCAAAAGTCAAAGTCAAAGTCAACTTCCAATTGACCCGACTCGCTGAGTTGGCTCGTTAACTCGTCGAGTCCTTATCCAGTCAGTTATCCTCACTCTCATCCCTACTCGTCGAGTTAGGCATTGACTCGATGAGTTTTACTTCTAAACAGATATCCAATAGTCCTTCAATCGACTCGTCGAGTTGTATGAACAACTCGTCGAGTTCATCTTCATCCGATGAACACTCTGGTCCGTGACTCGCCGAGCTGTATGAACAACTCGTCGAGTCTGTTCTTGAGGCAAGATGATTGCCTTGAACTCGCCGAGTTAGGGCATTGACTCGCCGAGTCCCTCTATTACTGAGTCTGGCTTTTAACTCACTGAGTCCACTTATAGCTCACTGATCCCACTCAACGTAACTCAAAAGGGGAAAAATGGGGACTCGCGACTCGACTCGCCGAGTCCGAAGAACAACTTGTCGAGTCGCATGCATGAAATTACTATATATTCGATTCTGCTTGAATCCAATGCATTCCATTCATAGATCTGGGTTCTTAGGGTAGGTTTTACAAGTAAAGTTTCCAACTTTATGTGTATTCATGCACCAAAAGGGAAATAAGAGGCTGTAGATCTAGGACTTATACACAAGTTAGGCTCATAAAGGCAATAGATCCGAGCTCCTAGAGCTCAATCATGCCTAGATCTGAAGTCCCTTAACACTATAAGCTCATTACCCAAAGATCAAGACTAAAAGAGGCCTTAAAATGACTATCTTAAGCTCTTAAGGAGATAATAATGAAGGAACAGAGAGGGTTTCAAGTCTAATACCTCTAGAAGCTCTGAAATGGCACAAGATTCTGGATCTTCTTCCTTTCCACTTGATCTACCTTTTTATTTTCTCCAAAACTTCAAGGAAATGCACCAAAAGCACTCAAATTACTAGAAGAAGGGTTAGGGCTTCGTGAAGGAGTGTTCTGGACGTAATGGGTCCGTTATGGGGCACAAAAAGATGTTTAAATAGGGTGCAAACCTTTGAAATTAGGGTTTCATACAGACATGTGGACTTGCTGAGTCTAGGATATGGACTCGCCGAGTTGCCAACTTAAACGTGCTCAATATCTCGTCTCTACTCGGCGAGTCGGGCCTATAACTCGCCGAGTTCCAGCTAAAAATGCCAAAAATACTTAGATTAAAAATACATACTAGGAACCAGGTTCTACAGTAATAAGAGGATGACAGGTTATAAACCTCAAGTCACGTGCTAGTGATGATCAACTAGGTTTATTCTTGATCTATTCTTGAAACCTTTCAAGACCATTAAAGCTCCCACTGACTCCTTGACATATATGATTCTCTTGTCAAGGAACTTTTCTTAACAAACAAATATTCAAGAGTTAGTTTAGCTTTTATCAAGACAAAACACTTCACAAAATTGGTCCTAGTTGGTCTTTTTCTTATCCAAGACATCACAACTTACAAATTTCAAATGTGCAAGAATAAGAAAACTTTTCTAAATTCCACATTTGATGAGTGTTATAAACCTACTAAAGACGTGTACTCAATTCACAATCTTGGAGTATGACTCTAAGACTCGATATTGGAACGAAGTATGATTTACTTCTTGATTTAACCATTTCTACAATTCTCGATTCCTCTTCTTAGACATGCAATTGCACTAAGACTCACTTAGAGGATCAATTGAGACATGGTTCTTAATCATTAAGACCTATCATAAAACACAATGAAAGTTACTCTCCCTTCTTCTTAGACTAGAGAAACTTTTATCTTTCTGCCTACTAGATTCTTTTTATTCGTTTTGTTATTGATTGAAACTCTTTCAATCAACTCATAATTACACTCAATCTTATAAGTATAACTATATTTACTAAACTTTAGTAAATCATGACATATACGATGCTATCCCATAAGATGTAGTCTTGCAATACCCAAGATTGGGCCCTTGAGGAAATAAAATCATATGAGTTAGCCTTTGCTGTGGAGTATAAACCCAAACCACCAAAACTAATGGGTAGAGAATTAATTTGCCACTATATGTCGCCAAAGAAAGGGCCACCAAAAACCACATTGTCCTCAATCGCCTCACGCACCCCATTGTAAAAGAATAATGCATCGCCTTCCATGTGAACAGGTTGGCACGTCCTCATCCCAAAGAAAATTTTTGCAATACTCATACAAGACCAAAGTAGAAGGAGCTCACTTTGGGGGTCAGATAGTTGTAGAAGAAGACACATCAAATTCATTGGGTTTTCAGATCTCTTTATGGCTAAGTTGCTAATGAAACTAACATCTCTACTAACAACTCCCCCCAAAGAAGTTTCACCCCCAAAGGCGGCCTCCAAAAGAGCTTAGTTGTCTTGATATTCAGCTAAAGGCCCAATTTTAGGCCAATCACCTTAATGATGACCAAAAATTTGGCCACCTCCTCCAAATTTCTAATAAGTGTGTCATCATCAAGGTACCATGTATGTAGAAGAATATTGCAATTGTATCTAATATTATGCAAGAGCAGGTGCAACACAAGGGCAAAGAGAAGTGGTCCTAAAGGGTCTCCTTGCTAAACCCCAATATTGGATCAAATATGTGTGTCAGTTAGATACAACCTTGCTGCTTGACCATATAGGAATTCTATCCACAAGGATATAGAAGGACACCTTGATTTGACCTCATGAAGTAATACAGATCCATCGATAAGGTTAAAGGCATTGTAGAAGTCCACGGTAAGCATGGAAAGTGACTCGTCATCGTGAAGCTCACTCAACACCCTATTGGCGCTATGTAATACGACCTCAGTGCCACCGACAGCCCAACCCCGAATTAAAAATCATTGAGATACTGGCCATTTCTTTACCAACACCTTTCATAGCCAACTTGGAAACCAAACGTCTCCATATAGTACCTATTGCAATAGGTCGTATTCCTTGTCAGGTTTTAAGAGCGGCATGAGAGGAGTAGAGGTAACAAATTCTGCCAAACTCGAAGGGCATCTTCCCCTAACCATAGATTAACCACAGTGGTAATAAGATGTAGGAGGTCTTTGGCTATGGTTGAACCTTCTCCATAAAGATCATCCAAAATGTGTTGAGGTCTCAACCCATCTATCCCATATGAGGTATCTTTAGAAAACATTTAATGCCCCCAAGGACATTGTTAACATGCTCTACAAGGGGAGGTTCTTAGATGGTGCTCGACATGGAAGGTGGTGGCTTGCATGGATGCTTATCTTCCAATGCCTTCGTGGTATCAACCCCAAATGGAGCAACCACTGAGGAACATAAAACTTTCATTGTTGTTGTAAATGTCCATCGACAACCTTACGAAGAAATTTTTTGATGTTGGTGCTGCCTAACGTTCTTTCCTCCTAAATGTACTCTTATTTTTTCGCCTTGTTGCTCCAGCATTGCATTGTCAACTAAGTTTTAACTAGCTTGGCGATACCGACTTCAGTCCCCCAAGTAGTTAATGCGCTCAAGATATTACGATGTTACAAATACTTCCTGTTGCCATACCTACTTTCTTGCTTATTCTTGGGCCTGAACACCTAAAGAGTACACCTAGAAAGAATTAACAAATCAACACAAGCCTCAACGGACCTGGGATAAGCAACCACCTTGGAAAGGGATTCTTTCCAAACAGTAGAGAAAGTTATACGACGGTCATGAAGGATGCTTTTAACAGTGGTGATAGGTAGTTTAAAAACAAGATCAAGTAGTTGAGCATCCAACACAAACCCATCATTGTGGTCAATTTCCAGTCCATTGGGTGGCGACTTTGGAATACCAACAATATGCCTACTAATGTCATCAACGTTGTCAATAAACTTAATCAGGCCACCCCGGTAGTGACACGGACGACTCATGACATGAAGACTCATGCAATTCCCACATATCCATTGACCAAACGCCTTCAATGTTACTATACCCAAACCCAAACATATAAATGTCTTGTTGGCAATAACAGAGTCACAATTGACAACCTGACTCATTAGATATTTACACATACGAAAAGGTTAAATAAAAATTGATAACCTAAAATATGGGTTAAACTAAAATCGAGAAAATGAAGAATCCATTGGAGAAGCCTAGTAGAAGAAAGATTTTTTTTTTTTAAAATCTTAAAACCCTAAACGCTTATGTGATTCTTAGTGGCAAACATGTCACTGGATGGGGTTTTTCGGTGGTTCTTCGTGACAAAGGGGTGATTAAAGGTGATTTTCGATAAAGGCGAAATGACTGTATAAGTTTTTTTGTTTGTTCTTGATCTTTCCCGTGACTTGAGTGATTGGTAATACATGGTAATGAAGCTTGCGATTTTCGTTATCAATGGAAATGAGGGAGGTAAACACAATGCTTGTTGGAGAAGAAGGATTGGGATCGGGATGGATAGGGTAGGGGTAAGTGGGTGGGTGCCTGTGTAGCGTGTGACTTTTTTATTTTCTATTTTATTAATTATAAATAAAAAGGAATTAGAAAGGTTATAATAGTCTTTTCCATATGCACTAGGGACCAATAATGTAATTTTTCATATAAGATGGACACGATCTATCAACATTGCTAAGATTGGATAAATATGAGAATCAAAACTATAATTTACTATTTTATTAATGTAATTTTCAGGTAGGGTAAGGAACATCTTGTCAGCATATGACAAATAATCGTGTGACACGTGTTTCTTGGCTCAATTGGCCCGGGACGTGACAAGTATTCACGGGCAGCGACTAGTAAAGTAAGTACTAGTGGCCTCCCGCCTACTCAAGTAGAGAAAAACGGAAGGACATAGAGTTAGAGTGGGAGTTTAGAAGCAGAAGGAAGCTATGGCGTCTGTGGGAGTTGACTCGGAGGTGACTCGGATAATGATCGGTGTGAACGAGTCAAGCATCAAAGGATATCCACATGCTTCAATTAGTAGCAAATCAGCATTTGAATGGACTCTGAACAAGATCATTCGCTCCAATACCTCCGGTTTTAAGCTCCTTTTTCTCCATGTTCAAGTTCCTGATGAAGACGGTATTCCTTTTACCTTTTTCTATGTGTTTTCCTGTTTATAATTGTTTTTTACAATCTAGTTTGTGTGTTTAGCGTGTTATATGGAACCTTGAAGTGATTTTAGGGTTTGCGAAATCAAATTTAGGCGATCGAGGTTTTGCCGTTGTGCAATTCGCTAGTTTACGCCATGTGATTGTTGATAACAAGTTTGATTCGAAATTACTGTTTCTGATTTGAGTTTTATGAATTGGTATTCTGAAATTAGCATTGTTTAATCGTTTATCAAACTTCGATTCTATGTCATATGCAGCTTTTACGTTTTTTCACTGTGTCCGTGTTTACTATAGGTATGGAACCCCTTGAGGTGTTTTTAGGGTTTGTGAGATTAACTTTTTAGACGACTGAAGTTTTTAAGTTGTGTGATTCATAACATGTACGCCATGTGATTGTTTGATAATAATTACGAGTCTTGATTTGGAATTCTATGAATTTCTTTGCTGAATTCATCATATGCAGCCTCAAGTGTTCTTAGGATTTATGGAATCAAATTAGGGCTTCTATTAGGTGGATATTTTATTAAAATGTAATGACTTATTGGACTCAATTTCTTTCCATCCAGTCTTGATTAGATCCTATTCCCTCTGTATTCCTCAACAACTAACACAAACGGGGTTGTAACTTTAATGGTTATCATATTGACATTCATATAATATATCTGATGCCATTTCATTTCTTTCATTTATGTTTTGGTAGGTTTTGATGATGTTGATAGTATATACGCCTCACCACAAGATTTTAGAGATGCAAATCGTAAAGACAAGATTAATGGATCTCATTTGCTGGAGTACTTTGTGAACAGATGTCATGATATAGGGGTCTCTCTCTCTCTCTCTCTCTCACACACACACACACACTTTTAAATAATATTTGAGCATAATTCAGTAAATTGGTAATTGTGATAGGTTGTTTGTGAAGCATGGGTGAAGAGGGGTGATGCCAAAGAAGTAATCTGCCATGAGGTCAAAAGAGTCAAACCAGACCTCCTTGTAGTTGGAAACAGAGGGCTTGGTCCCTTCCAGAGGTATGTTACTTAAGTTATTAATCAAGGGCATTTTAGTAATTTACTGTTTCATTGAATTTCATTATTTTTCAACAGGGTATTTGTGGGAACTGTGAGTGAATTCTGTGTGAAGCACTGTGAATGCCCAGTTGTAACAATCAAACGCAGTGCAGAAGAGACCCCTCATGATCCTGTAGATGATTGATTGTTCCTCTAAAAGCTACTATTAATAATGTAAAATCTTCTCTACAACCCTCGTTCCTGGTTTGTCTTTTTTAATGGAGATTCAGCTGTGTGTATCTGTAAGACCTATGAGTTCCTTTTTTCTAGCCAAGTTGTTATACAACTATGTTTTCAAGGCTGCTTTTGTTATATGTAACCATAATGTACAAGCTTTTTAGGGATGACAATGACATTTATGTCTTTTCTACTCTCTAACATTACATCAAAAAATATATTCCTTATATAGTCTTTTGACAAAATTGCTCCATGTGTTTGTCAAAATCATGTGGTTTTATTCCAAAAAGTTTTGGAGGTGTATCAATGGTTTAGTTTTGGATCTTTTTTGTGTTTTTGGTCTCTATCAGCTTGAAAAGATTATTATGCCCTTATATTTTATTTTTTCTATTTTTTAATCATTATAATCCTTAAATTATTTAAAATTTTAAAAAATAGCCATCCCACCCTCCTGTTCTCTCTTTCCCCTCTCTTGTTGGAAACCACCAACACCAACTCCCCTTCTTGACCGATTTAAACCAAGTGCCAAGAAATAATATGATCCTAAAATCACACTCAGTGCCTAGATAGATGCAAGGGTTGCTTAAACCCACAAGTTAAACCCATATATCATGCGGATATGCCCAAAACAATTTTATCAATTAAAATCAGAAACCAATGATGAAATCAAAACCCTAGAAACAAAAATTCACAAGTACACGAAGATGGAATTAAAACCTGAAACCTAAAGAACCTAAACTAGAACCTACATGTTTTTTATTTGATTCACGTTTCAAAGAGTAGAGAGGTGAAGAAGATGATGGTGATGAACTCACAAGTGGGAGCTGATGAACAAGCATCTGTAGGGCCGTGTTTGTATCGGAGGAGCACAACGATGCTTGCCAGAGCTTGTTAGGTGGGCGGTGTTGGTATCGAAGAAGCTGCGGTGTGTGGTCAATCACATCAATGTAGTTTGCATAGGGGTCTAAAGCTACTGTCATTGGAGTTTGTTAGGGTGGGCGATGATAAACAAGCAGGGAAGTTGGGTTTCTCGTTGTAGCCGAAGGAGCACCACGATTCTTGCCAGAGCTTGTTAGGGTGGGAGATGATTAAAGCCACTGCCACGATCACCATCGAATGCCATTACCGTTCACCACAAACATCCAATCACATCCTCACCCTCATCTCTCCTCCCTCATACCTGTTGAAACTTTCCCACCCATTCGGTGTCGCTCACTATTTCTTGTGTATGATTTGAATCCCCACATTTTTCGGATTTCTCATAGACTTACCACAATTAATCATCGAAACCCCTAAATTGTTTGGTGCAAACCCTAGCTCCGATTGACTCATGCTTTGGCGATAGAGGGGAGTAGTTAATCAGTGAGAACTTTGCGGTGGGAGGTAGGGTTGTTGTCATCGCCAAAGGAAAGGCTAGTTGTGGAGGTTATGATAGAGATTAAAGAAGAAGGAAGATCGACATAGGTGTAGGGTTGGGTATTGGGCATGATGAATTATGTGGGGTTGCTTAGGATTCTTTTTAGTTTATTTAATTAAAAAATAATACGAAATGTTTAGAAAATTGATAAAAAATAAGTTAAAAAACAAACAATTTTAGGCATATTCATCATTTCAGGTTGGGTGTGAACCAAAATCACACAAAAATGTCAGTCACATGGACCAAAACCACATAAAGGGCATGTTTGATAACTTGTTGATCGGGTCCGGTCAGCTTGTTTGATACAAGGTAATTTAGTTTGATCCGGTAACCTATTGACTCGGTCCACTACAAAAAAGAAGTTGACTCGATCCTTTTTCTTGATTTCCCTCGTTTTCCCTTATACCAAAACACACTCGGTCTTCACATCTTTCTTCCTCATCGCCAAATTGATGGATGAACGCAAGCTACAGCTCCATCGATTTCTTCCTCAAACGTCGACCACCCCTTCTCATGCTCCAACAATGACTTCTTTTACCTTCAACCCTCCCTACGACCACCATCTTCATTGCAGTAGGCAGCCCCGTCGCTGGTAATTTTCTAGCCCTCTGATTTCTTTGTTTTTTGTTTTTTGTTTTTTGTTTGTTTTTTCTGAAATCAAATGTATGTTTAGTAAAATTGGGTATATGTTTTCATAAAATCAGATGTCGTCTTCAATCCATTGCTTGTTGTTTTCTTTTGATTCTATCAATTTTGAAAATGTGTTTGTTATATTTTTTTTCACACAAAATCAATTTCTTTTCAATTGCGGGATTGCTGACTCCGGATGATGCTTGTGTTGGATTGGAAGGGCTTGATTGCTGTTTTTTGGAAAAGTACCTCCATTTGGCCATAAAACCAATGGCTTGGTCGAAGAATCGGTTTGAGGTGCAATGTAAACCGGAGAGTACTCATTGGTGGCTTCATCTTCAATCGACCATGTATTAGGAACATGTGAGTTTCTTGATCTTTTTGTTTTCAACAATTCATAAAGTTTGTCTACCATTGGTTGAACCAAACAGGGCCAAAAGGCTAAATGTTACTATAAGTTTTAACATCCTGTTTGGTACTTTCCACAATCCACAAATGCTAATTCCTTACAAACCAGAATTCTTTTTAGCATTTTTAAATAGTCAGTTGTTAATTTGGATTTGGTGTTAAGTTGGATTTGATGTTTAACATAGTTTTGGGTTTGAATTACATGCTAATTTTGATTGTTTTTGTCCCACATGTTTGTTCATCTCAACTTGATCAGGTTCTATTTTAATGGCTCACAACGTGTTGGAATCCGATCTTTCATTTTTATGATCATTGTTGTTTATAGACTTTGTAAATTGTAATTATTATGTTTAATTTAAATTTTATATGATATTTTGTATATTTTGTTATCTAGATTATTTCAAAGAAATTGGTGAAAAAAAACTATAAAAAATGTAATGTACTTTTTTTTTCTTTTTTCATACATGCACTACATAGCAATGTATTTTAGTTTGTTGGTTAGTTTCTTTTAAAACCTACACTAAATGGCAATGGACTTTTTGGGTTCTTTTGTTCTTCAAACATAGTCAGATCTTACTCGATCAGTAACTATCAAACAACCCCAATATCTAAAACTGGAGTACTGATACAACAATCATATAATTTTGACAAAGCATAAGGATCCTTTTTGCAATTTTGTCTATATTCTTCTTCTTCTTTTTTATAACTTATACGGAATGTCTAAAACACATTTTATTAATTAGCTTTTAACAAAGTAAATATCAAATATGTATTGCTTCTTTTTATTACAGTAACTTAAAGAAAAATTATACTATGTGTATTGTAGGATGTATGTATATTACACTTTTATAAAATATGTTATTGTAATCGTAGTTAAATATTTAAACAAATTCGAAATATAAATCTTAAACATTATTAATATTATGGAGGACGGTGAGTGGAAAACCGTCTTCAAAATTTCAACCGTTCAAACTCTTCGGACGTTTAATCCTGACTGCAATAACTCAAGAATCACGGTTATCAGCCAGCCGTTTTCATCTTTCAATCGTTTCTCCTCCACGTTCAATTGGTTTTCAGGTTCGTTGAAGACATGGTAGTTCTCCTTCAATCATCACGATACGGAGGTAGGTTGCTTCATAGTCGGTAACTGTCCTAACCACGACATAGAAATCTGGCCTATATAATGATCAGAATCTTTTTCAATCTGTATCACTTATGGAGAACGGAGAGTCGAAATCGGTAATCAAGAAGGAATTGAAGGGATCTTGCACCTATTTACAGAAGATGAGGAGTCGACTATTAAGCGTTGCCAGTATTCACGCAAAACCCCTACTCAATCGATTGGATGTTCATTATATCTTGTTCATTTTTTTCCAGATAATGACTTCTAGGGTTGAATGTAACCATCTGATCGATTAAAACTGATAGATAATGGAGAACTAAAAAGGTACGTTTGATAAAGTTTAATGTTTGTAATTTTTTTCAGTTATGCTACCCCTCTCCCTTATTCTCTGTACATCTCACAATTTCCCATATCCTTTATTCTCCATATCTATTTTGCTCTTTCATAAAAACATTTGTGCTGAGTTTTAGTTTTGAATTTTTGTAGATTGATAAATGTAACATCCGGATTTTTACCAGGTATAATGTAAGTTTAATTGTGTTGTTTTGTAAGAGGGACTCGGCGAGTCAGGGCTCAGACTCGCCGAGTAGGGACGCGGGTTTGAGCGAAGGTGCGCGCTTGGACTCGGCGAGTCCAGGGCATGGACTCGGCGAGTCTGCGCTGTGTTAAGAAACCCTAAATCCCCGGGTTTGTGGCCTATTTAAGGGGCCTTATGGCCGTCATTTGCGCTCATCCAACCCCCAGAGTGTGTCCCTAGAGTTCTTGAGCGTTTGGTGAAGGATTGAGAGCAAATCTTGACCTTGTGAGTGTTGTTTAGCAAGAAGAAGGAGGCTCTAGGCAAAAGGAGGCAAAGGAGGTTGCCATTTCGTGGATTTGGAGCTTGGATCATCACTTTAGAGGTAATATTTCGGACCATTTCCTGTTTGGTGAACTTGATGCAAGTTAGGGTTAAATATGATCATTTATGGGGTGATTTGGTGCCCTTTTGTTCCCTCTTTGAGTTGAGACCATGGATCTGGATCCATAGAGGTCCAGGGGCCTCACTCATCAAGCTTTATGGGTAAAAATGGAGTCCTTGGCCTTGTGTTGAAGTAATAGAGTCAAAATCATCATTTGTGATCATGTAGAGGTTATTCATGCATCAAGACTGGACTTTACGTGCTAAGTAAGCATGGGGGGACTGGATCTATGGATTAGTGGACTGGATCTGGCCTTTAGAGCAAGATTGAGTTAGTGCATGGCATGGACTCGCCGAGTCCGAAGAACAGACTCGGCGAGTAGCTTGAATGTTACACGACCACTCAGCGAGTGGCCTCGCCGAGTTGGGATGAGTGAACCCAGTGGGTCAAGGGGGAGTCAGGATGGACAGGTGGACCGAGTCAAACCGGACTCGCCGAGTCGTTCTGGAGACTCGGCGAGTTGAGTCGTGGTGGCCCCACAACTCGTGCCAGGTGGAGCTCGTCGAGTTGGGAAGGGATGCTCGACGTGTCAAGAGAGAGTTTCAGGGAAATTGGTGATTTCGCTCAGACTCGCCGAGTCGCTATAGTGCACTCGCCGAGTCCGGTCAAGTTGACCGTTGACCAGCGTTGACCTAGATTGTCCTGTTATGGTATGGTTAACCCTAGTTGGGAAAGTGTTAATTAGAGATATATTGTGCTATAGGGGGGACTTCAGCTCGGCAGATCGAGTGTTTAGCAATTTCAGGGTTACGGTTTACCGAGACACACGAGGTGAGTCTTCTC